TTTTAGCATTATCAGCCCTGGATTTTCCAACACATAGACGTACAGCTGTGATAATCCAAGGAAAAATGACTAGCTAAGCTTCTACTTATCCGAATGTTTTCATTATTAATTGTGTGTTCAGATTCTGCAGAGACAACTGCACATGAATATATTTTTGGTCCTGCCTTGTAAAGTCAACTAAAGTACAAATACCTGTCTCACATTCCTTTGTGCACAGTCTAATGGCAATGAAGACAGAAAACTGCCTTCTCATAAACCTGAGCTACTGTAGATGTTTATGTTGGAGCTAGCTATAGCCTTACAGTCTGGTAAAAGTACAAAACAACAGGAAAACTACCACCAGTTTGTATCAGGCCTTGCATGGTTGAGAAGCAACCATGAAGTTCAACAAGTATCTTAAATTACATTATTTTGATTTTTCTCTCCGTATTTTGAATATGATCCCTAGATTTCTTAATGAGGTTTTTTGTTTGGTTAGAAATGAATAGTTTGAAAAACAAATATATTGTTTGAATTATAAGGAAATAGTCTTGAAAAAGAGTTGCTTTATTATGAAACTTCAGCCTTCCTGTGACTTCTAAAATGACTGCATTGTTCAATTTAATTCCCTACCAACTTTATAAATTGGGGGGGGGGCGGGAGGGGGGGGTAAGGGGCAGGGAGGGCAGAGCGGAGAATGTTGTTTTAAAATAAATAAATAAACAAATAAATAAATAATATCTAACAGTTTGCCATGTCTCTACCCACCTTAAACATTTGCAAAGCTACTTTATAACTATTCCTGTAGTGTGAAAGATGACTTGGATATTTAAACCAAACCTAGCTTAAAAACAGAATGGGGGAAAATGGATAGGACAGCTCAAGAAAGTTCCACTCTCACAGCTGTCAGCTGAGAAGAAATGGGGGAAGGGGGAAAAGCTGAGAAAGGAATTTTTTTTTTTTTTTTTTGGCAGTGAAGAGAGGAACATGCCATCCCTGTTTGAAAAGTTTCAGGGTGGGAAAGGCTAAGGAGGGGCTAACATACTATACATACCTTTACATATATTTTTGAGGTAGAAAAACAGTGTTATGTTTGAGCAGAGTTCAGCAAGTGGGAAGGGAGGTGGCATTGGTTCTGGCCATTCGGTTCTCTTAAATAACCCTACAATTTACAGCACACTGAGAAGAAGCACAATAGATGATAAGTGGCTGCCTCATAACAAGAAGGCAATACAAACATTGTGCATGTTGCATCACATATGTAAGAAATTTTTTTTTTAAAAAAAAAGGTTTAGCCTCTGGAGGAAATATATTGGAAGTGTTTATCTGCAAGGCCCTTGGTGGTGTGGACTCCTGTGAAGTTACGCTAACTGTCGCACAGCTTTTGAATTCTAGGAGAATAAATTTTGTACCCTGTTATTGTTACAGCCACACTTCTGGGTACCTTGCATGACTCAACTCACACAGCAGTACAGAGAAAGGGAGGGAAGAATTAGTCTTGTTTCCTGAAGCTACAGATATAAGATGTTAACGAAATTGTAGACCAGGGGAGGGAAAGGCAAGGCAAAGTATAGTTCCCAGCAAGTTTATAGCTGCAAACTGTTCTTCCTAGACTGAAGGAATAAATGAGATGAGACGTAACTGAATACCGGTACATCTGTGGAGATGTTAGAAACAAAGGCATTATGTAAAGGTTTTGTAAGTGCAGCTCACCAGTGTCTTTTCACACTCTACAGAATAAAAATATGAATCTATTGGGGATGGTATATCCAGCTGGTCAGATCTGGGAGTCAGCTAAGGGTGAAAAATTGAACACACTGTTCAAGAAATAAACGTCTGAAAAAAACATAAAAAAGGCAAAATCCTGAGAAGGGAAAAAGGACACTGCACAAAGAGTAAGATATATAAGTAATGAATAAGAGAAGCCGTTGCCTGAGAACCATCATGAAGTCCACATCTTCCACTGACACCTGTGGGTAGAGTCTGGTCAGGACAGAGTACTGCTAGATTGGATCTGCTTCTTGGAGCCGGGGGGTGGAAACCTTCCCGGAGGAATGGAAAAAATGTCCCAGCTGATTAACACAAAGTAACACACTGCTCTCACAGAGGAAATGATAAAGAAAAGAATTTTAAATGGCATGATTACTTTGAATATTCCTCCAGTGTTACTATTTTTCTAAACCATCCCCCAATCACCACTGCATCAGCAGTAAAGAAACATGTAGTACTGTCATTCTTCTAAATCAGTGATTTTCAACTATTTCCAGAACGTGACCTCACATTAGAAGAACCTTTTCTGGAGTCTGACACCCACTTTTAAGCTCAGAAGAAAGGTGGCCCCTGCCTCCTAAAAGCTGTCTGCAGCAACCTGCCCAAATGCCTGTGGCCAACAGAGAAGTTGGGCCACTGCAGTGGGGTAGAAAATGTACAGAAAGAGAACGAATCTAACACACAGATAACTTCTTTCCACGGACCATAGCCACATGGTCACTGGGAGCTTTATTCTGTTATGAAAATTGCTCAAAATTAGACATGAACAAAACTCTCTTATTTTCTTAGATTTACTCGCTTCCCTACCACTTGTTTTGTGTCCCACACCATTACCCAAACACGGAGCCTCCTGGGTGTATTCTTCAAGGATATTGCCTGCTTAGACCCAGTTTTTCCTAGAGCTCTTCGCTCCCCAGCCCAAGCACTGCCCCCTGAGAACAGTTTCGGAAGGGACTGGCCTTTGGGTGGGACACATTCTCGTTTGGGACAGTGAGGAGATCTAACATGCAGCCTCACACTCAACATAATCATGTGTTGACACAGTCATGAGCTGGAATTCCATTTCTTGTAGCAATAGTTGGGACCAACATCCACAATAACTGTGCACTGAAAACTTGCATTTGTGGCTCCATGGCCAAAACCACAGGAAAACTATTTTTAGCGCAACAGAGCTCTAAATAGTGGAAGCACTGAAAATTTAGCTCACATCATGGGCCAAATTCTTCTCCTGGTTACACCCACCCTGTGGAGAAGCTTGAATATAATAAACACTCCGAAACAGAAATTAAGGGAAAAAAAAAAAAAGAAACTTTTGCTTGTGAGTAAAATCAGTATTTTAAACTTTAAATGAAGAAAGGAACGCATCCTCCAGCATTTCCTCTGGAAATAAATAAAAGGAAAAAGGAACAGTTTGAAATAGAAGCGATCTATTACAATAATTGTACCTATTGCAATAAAGATAATTCATCCCACAATATATGTCTGAACAATACCCATAGCTAAAATCTCTCTCCATTCATTATGCAGATACTTTTGGCTTAGACCAGTGAAAAGGACACTGAGTTTATCTTGAGAGAAGACGCAGCCGATGAGTGTAGCCTGAGTAACAAATCAGGTTTTAATAGCTAGACCTACACTTAATTACTCACAAGCCAACTTTCTAACAGCAGTTTTATCACCTCAGGATTTCACAACACAAAACAATTAGTGATGGCAATGCAGAGTCCTCAAGCTTTCTCAGGTAGGAACCGACAGGACCTGACTTTCTCCTCCTGGCTGTATTTCTGCCAAAGTCCCCAAGTTACAGGATGCTGGGCCTTTACAACTTGTATTTAAATTTCGTGGCACACTTAGGGACACAACTTTTTTTTTCCACCCTCATGACCACATAGTTGGGTTTAACGATTTCCTCTGCAGTATCAAGATCTGCATATACAAGCACAGTAATGTCTATTATGAAATTAAAGTGCTTTTGGGCAGAGTGTAGTGCAGGTTTTAGACAACATGTTGCAAAGTATTTGCTTTTCTTTGCAAAATTTCCACAAAAATTTTATTTTTCTTTCTTTGTTTTTTGTTAGGAGAACATGGAACTGTATCATTCTCTAAAAAATTAAAACATTTTGGGGAAGCCAGTAAGATGAGAAAATTACAAAATAGGTTTTTTCCTCATAATAATAAAAAATGTTAGTTTTCATTCACTATTTTATCGTAGATCGGTTTTCTTCCACTCTTCAAGCACTGCCCTATGACATGTTTTAAAGTGAAATACAGGAAGGAAAATCAAGAGGCAAACAACACATTTTCAATTTTGGTTACATTTTTGCAAATCTTAAATAAATTAGGATTATTGTTATTGTCTAAACATCTTCATATGTCACACAGTAAAGGAAAAAATAAAAAGTTCATAAATGCCACAGCTGCTTAGATGGGCCCCATGTAAGGCACTGTCACTAAAATAGTTCACAACCCTAATTACAATTCACCACATCTTGGGAATGACATTTAGGATTCTCAAGGCGCTTTTAGATAATTTTTAGACTCCGTGTAGAAGTTCAGCTGTCACGAAGTCGGTTTCATTTTGTAACAGATTTTATCCTTTGGAATGTTGTGTTTGGATTGAGCTGAAGATATGGAAAAATACATGCAATATAGTTTGCTTACCCCACTGAAATATAACTCCTAAAACAAAGCTGAAAGTTTTTGTCATTTAGTGTTCATATTCCAGCCTGTGCTTGCCTATAGCTATTTAGACTGGGGGGGGGGGAAGGGAAGAGGGAGGGTAGGACAAAATACTCCTTTACTGCATTATTCCAACTCCATTAGTGTAGTCAGAGAGCATTCCTGACCTCTATCCAGTAATTAAATAAATATTTTACATTGCAGGATTTAATTGGAATCCCCAAAGTTAACAATAGCCTCTGCTATCGGTGTTGCTATCTCAGGGGTTCTGTTTTCACAGGCGTATATTTAGATCTCGGCCACATCGCCCACTCGCATTATGAATAGTAGAACACCCCCCCACACACACCCCATAAAAAAAGAAAAAGAAAACAAACAAGAAGCTCAGTAAAATCTGGAAACTTTTATAAAGTGACGCCATCTCCACGAATCTCCTTCCCCCTGCTGCAAAACGTACTTCAAAGCTTAACAAATTAAGTGGCGGGCAGGCTCTCGTGAAAAAACAAAAGAAACAAAACAAACAAAAAAAAAACAAAAAAAAAACGACCAATAACAAATGAAGTGAGCTTTACCTTCCAGCAACTTACTGCAGCTCCATTTTCTGACCCTTTATTTTTTCACTAGCTCCCTTCCAAGCGATTTCTGTTTCTCCCTCCGTGTCTGTCATGCTGGCGGCGGGGCGGCTGGGGAGGAGCCCTGCGTGAGGGTCCCCAGCTTGCCGGGGAGCGGGGACCGGATCGGGTAACACACCCAGCAGCACACCCAGAGCTGGCTGCAGAGAATTCAAATTCCCACTTTAGAAACTTTCTGCAATACTTGTGTGTCAAGTCTATTTTTGTTTCCTTCCTTCATCCTGTAATAATGCTCTTCGGTCCGATGCAACGCAGCCATCTTTTGTGCCGTGTCTTTCCTACAATCCATAGATCAAAAGAGTTTTGCCGGTGTAAATCCTGGCTTTGCCAGAGCTGGCTGATCCCTTTCAGTGAATAATTTATCTGGTTTGCAAAATGGGAGCAACTGCAGGCACAGTGTATTGACTCTTTGCCTTAAGTCTCAGCACAGAAAGAATACCTGTGATCTGAATGCATTTGATGGATATAAATGTGTATATACATGTATAATACATACAAATATATATATACACATATGTATACACATTTAAGGCATTCAGATGTTATGTCTATGTGCACATGCACACACACACTTCAAAATGGGCCAGTTTAATTAGGATAATGGTGCTTTTCATTAAAAAGTACAATTATAAAGTACGAATGATCTTCATACCAGGCCTTCTGCATTTACGTTTTACCAGGCTGTGAGTATATACAAAGATGGCAAAACCAGAGAGTAACAATAATAAATGAGAGTGTAAGTCTACGAAAGACAGATCATTCTCTGAATCTACTGAGCTAAACACGATAAATGCTGATGAGTCTTGTTGACAACAGAGTTCATAGAGGTTTCAAAGTCCGGTTAATAGGAACAGTCTGATAGCTGCACACCCTAGAAGAACCTCTTAAAACAGAAAATAAAATTAATGTGATTAGATGCTTGCAGAATCAAAGCATTTCTTAGGAAAATAAGGAGATTATTATCATTGTGTCTGATCATTGGCTGTTGGTCTTCATGAAGATGACTAGGGTTGTGTCTAAATGATCAGCTTAACCCTCTCATACCCTAGTTCATGAGAAACCTTGTGTCTCACTCATACCACAAGCCTGGGTTCCCTTTCTGGAGCTCCAATTATCTGTCAAGATTTGAGCCAACAGTAGAAAGGAAGGTTCAGACACCCGCCATGAGGCATAGAGTGGGGAAGGATGAACATGGCTTGTCAAAGGAAAGTCGAGACTTTGCAGATCACTACTGGATTTCTTTGAAGGATTCAGCCAGAGTGTGAAGATGATAATATTTTTGGTGTTCTACCCAGATTGCTAAAAGACTCTTGGCCATGACTCACACCCTTCTTAAGAAAGATAATCCTCCAAGGAAAAAGAGGTAATGGTCTCCTGAAAAGGTGTAACTACTCGAAAGACAGACAGCAGAGTGGCAATATCTGGTTACTTTTCACAACAGAGGGAAGTGGAATTTCACAGGCACGCATGTGCACATTGGTGCAGCTCAACGTATTGCTAAGTGAGCTGGAGAAGGCACTAAGATGATCTGTGGATAACGAAGTTGTCTAGGAAAATGAGGATGAGGACTCAGTGTGAAGAACTGAAAGAGTTCACCATACTGAATAGGAAACAAAAGGCAGATTAAATTTGGTGTAAATATAAATGGAAAATTGCACACATGGGAGTGAAGTCACATCCAAGATGACATGCTCTAACCTATTATTACTCAGGGACAATATTTTATAATAGTTCGGTGCAGGTGTTGAGTTCATTTTTGATCACCAAGGAGTGCATTGAATGTCAGGAATTGCCACAAAAGGACTGGCAAACAAAGCAAAGATCACACTGATGCTGTGAGTTCCTGGTGCACCTGCATCTCAGGTTCCATGCAGAAGGCCAGTTCTCTGTCTCAAAAACAAATGCTACATCTGGCAGAGGGACAGACAAGGTCAAAGAGAGTGATCCAAAGCATCAAATGGATCCCATGAAGGGAATGTTTAAATAGTCTCTTCCATCTGGAAAAGGAACAGCTGAGAAGGGATGTTACTGACAGCTGCAAAAAGCCCAAGTAGAACAGAGAAGGTGAAAGAAGACTTTGTCTTCCAGTTCTGGAGGAGGTGAAAGGAAGTTTAGCTGCAGGCTTCTGAGAAGACACAAAGTGTAATAAAGGGGTTCAAATCTCTGCCACCAAACATTGCGGGTACTGAAAGTTTACATGCGTTCAAAAACCAAAACCAGCAACAGAGCAAGTTCACAAAAGAAAAACCCATTAAAGGTCACGAAATATAAAGACACCGGCCTCTGGCTCCGGAAGTCCCTTGGTTGCAAATTGCTGGGTGAGTATCCTGTGCCATTGCTGTTTGCCCTGTACTTACTTTCTTCCTCTGGGCATCCTCTGTTGCTGGCTGTTAGACAGGACACTCAGCCAGCCAGGCCTTTGATCCCACCTGGCAGGGTGATACGCATGTTCTTCACATGCTGTTAGGAGAACTGCTTTTCACCCTGAAGCTCGTATCTCACTGCAGCCATATTCTGTTGTCTAAAATATCACAAATTCTGGTCTGCAATCTTTTCAAATTCTGTCATATTTCTCCACCATCCTACAAATACTGTTACGTATTTACAAATTACACATATAAATGCATCTGTTAATAGGAATAAAACTCTTCCAGGCAAAAACTGTGAAATTGGTTTTGTTTAGTGTACCACTCTGGCTTTCTCAGCATGCTCAGGAGCAAAGCTTCCAAAAAGTCAGTAATGAGTTTACACTATGTAACTCAAAAATGCATTAATTATTCTAATCTACATTAAGAAGCTATTATTAGGATCTCCACATTAAAGGTCATTTGAATAGAAGCTTCAATTTAGTGAAGCTTCGGTATGGTAGAGCACCACTGTGCAGAGCTTCCAGCCCAACGCAGATACTAACTGAACTAACCATATAACAGCTTTTTGACCACAGTTTTATATCGTTATGTACAACAATTAACGTTACATTTTGAAACAGACAGCTGGTCCCTTCCAGTGATACTAGAGCTATGCAATAAAAGGAAACTTCTCTTCATGACAAACAGGAAAAAAAAAAAAAGAATTTTACATTGTCTGTGAAGGGAAAATGGTAGCAAGGAGGACAGTCATTTGGCATTTGAAAAGTTGTGTTTTGATAGAAAAAAAAATTCCTTTTAAAAGAGTAATGCAAATGAGGAGCATCTAATGGAAAAGTAACTTCCAAAACTTGTGTTTTGCCAGTGATGAGATGGGATTGCAGCTGAACCTTTCCATCTGTCCATTCTCCTCCTTCCCTAAACTAGCGGTAAAATGCAACATATTTCTCAAGGTATTTTTAAAAATCTATATATGTCAACGGGACAGATTTAGGCCAGTGTTTCTTTGGTCCAGCCCAAAAGGACAGCAAAACACTTGATAAATATTTAATTATTACCCATTCTAAGAGAAAAGCGTTTTCATTCCCATTAGCAATACAAAGAAAACCAAGTTCAGCTAGAAAATGCCACATGTCCAAAATCAGTCAGATACATCAGTGGCAACTCAGAGCTGAAATTTTTAATTCAACCCCCAATTTTGAATTCCAAAGACTAACCTGATACAGAGGATCTTGGGTGTAAAAACACAGAGCAGCTGTAGTTGCACTGTAGTTCCCACTGTCCCTTAAATACTGACACTTTTGAGGTTTCATAGAACAGGGAGGTGTTTCCATTCTAGATTACCAAGGATGTGTTTCTGAGAAAGCCACACAATTCAACTCGAAATAAGCTCTTTCCTGCCTTTCTTATACATAACTCATCACACCCAGATTTAAATATTTGTGTTCTCGTTTCAAACCTACTCTGCCAATTTATTATATAAGCGGCACCTTGATCTTCATTCTGTCGAACAAATTTCATTGAAAAAGACTGACTTTGGTGCCAGTTTTTATTATTTGTGTAGTTGGAACTGCTGATAGAGGGCTGTAAACCTTGATTTTAGGAAAATACTGATCAGTGTTTATATTTAACATGAGAATAATCTCCCATCTATTCAGCAAAGTATTTATGGCTATGCTTTACTTTAAGCACATGCTTAAATTCAATTAAATTCATTTTAATCATGGGCTTAAGTGCTCTGCTCTCTGAGAATAATAAGACCATTGGCATTTCATGTAGCTGGCTGAGCTTGTTTTTAAGTAAATCTCGTACTCTCAAGCACAAACTGACAAACATGCAAATAAGAGTTACCTTTTTGCCTAAAGACAGAAAATGATAAACCGAGTAGTTTTCCAGTCCATGAGGGGAAACACCTAGGCATGGAATAGATTTTCATTTCCCTGATACTATCATATTAATTGTCTGGTAGTGAAACGCTGCCTTGCAAGAAGAGATTGTGCCATCTTTGATCTCCTTCTGTACATGAGCAAGGAGAGACATAAGCATTATTTTCCATAGAAATGAAGAACGTTTGTTTGCTTGTTTGCTAGACAAAAGCAAATGTCTTTGAGACATTGTGGGCCATAGCTTAACTTGATATAAATTGGCACGTCTCTTTCATTCCAGCGGAATTACACTAATTTTACACCTCAGAGTACATCTCGGAGACTTTCCACGTCATGTATAAACTTGAATAGAGAGATTCTGTATCATGAGGTGAGATCATAATATACAAGTGTTTCACAGACATAAAACTATGAGGTCTGGGAATGCTTGACAGTAGCTAATAAATAGAGTATGGTCTGGTCATTAAGTGGGACCAATTGTTTATAAGAATAAACCAGTTGGTAGTCAGAGCCAAAAAGCAGTTTTCTCTACCATGCTACTCCTAATTAATAGCTTTTCCCCACCGAAGCAATAAAATGCAAAATTATGGTTTTATTAAGTCTTACGTGGCTCAAAAACCCCCTTTCATACGTCATTAACATTTGATCCTTTCACCAGAGAAGTGACCATTTTAAAAAGAAGTAAAAGAATAATTGAAAAATTTGAACATAAGCCAGTTTACACCACTGGCTAGAATATTTCTGATGCAAATTGAGAACTGACATAAGATAATGCCAATTTTACCACCACTGAATTTTAAAGGAAGTAAATTGTGTTATGTTGTCACGGTTATTTCAATTAACATAAAATAAAAGATTTTCAGAATTTTCTAACAAAGTTAGTGTTTATGGAACCAGACCTAAAGCAAACCCAGCAAAATCGGAATTTCTGTTTTCCGTAAAATTGCTTCTATGAATAGTGATATTAACAA